GCTTTAACAATTTTATGGCGGTTTTACGCCATAAATTTGGCTATGTTTTGACCGTCTTTATATCATGACCCCTGGACCATCTAGGGAATTCATTTATATTTTAGATTGCATTGTCATCGTGATTGGAACTATGCTGAAAGTCTCAAGCCTCTACCTTGTCGGGAAATTAGTTTAAAATCGATTGGAAATTTCCGCGGGATGACCAAGTTAAATAAAAGCTTGTAAAAACCTAACCAAGCGCTAGTCATGCGTCGAAGAAGTACAAGACGAACACCTCTATTCAACTAAAGGCTAGTATAACTATGGCGCGTATTCATAGTCCAGCAACTAAGTCGAAACTAACAAAGTTGCAACTTAAATTTAAGTACCAACTTAAAATTTACCTCTATTCATAGTCGCATTTCAGACTTCTACTAAGTAGTTTCGACTTAGTTTACGATATAGCAAAACGAGTGTGAAAATGTATCGATTTTTCTTTACGATATTTTGGAAAAATTACATTTTTATTAAATAATGTCAAGCTTGATCATCCGTTTATGTAATTTTTATTTTCATTGCATTATTATGCAAAAGAATAAGGTATCATTTTCTTGTTAATTGTGTGAAATAGCCAGAACAACCGCAGTGATGTGAAGTCGATGTTTATCGAAAGCATGCTGTGAAACATACAAATAGTAGATATCTAAATGTAATGCACAAATTTACTTTAAAAGAACTAGCGTGAAACTGACTTATTATTTGAGAATTTTTCTAAATTATTCCAATTATAAAATTGTGATGTAGCTTTATTCGAATTGTAATACGCAATTAAATGGATCGATTAAAATGGATCGATCTTTGTAAATTTTAATTGGAGATTATTCAATATTATCAAAATCACCCTCTACCAACTTAATTTTTACATATTTCGTCTGTTTTCCCTTAATTTTCCTAGTTACGATTTAGTTGCAGCTGCAGCCGAAACTAAATTTTAAGTTGGTACTTAGCCAGAAAAATCGAAACTAAGGCGACTATGAATAGCTTTAGTTGTGACTTACAGCCAGTTTCACCAAATTATTTAAGTGAAAATTACTTTAATTTCGGTTTCACCAATCAATTTTAATTTTGATTTAAGTGACCTATGCTCTGCACTTAAATAAAAGTTAAATCAGAATAACCACACTCAGAGGTGTTACACGTTTAATCACCTGATCATTGTGCATCTGCTGCTTACTTGTATACCAGCCCTGCTTTTACAACACAGCGTGCCAAAGCTTTCAAAAGCTCTCAGTACAAATAAAAGCGAAAGCTAGTCCTAGTCTGTTTTACAACCACTTTTTACTCACTTAAATAAATAGTTTATTGAAACTGAAAATAATTAAAATGAGATTTAAATAAAAAATTAAATTAAAGTTAATTTCCACTTAAATAGTTTGGTGAAACTGGCTGTTAGAATAGTTTCGACTTAGTTGAGTACTAAATATGACTATGAATATGCGCCTATATTATTAACTATAGACTATTAGGCCAATCAGAATGAGCACATTGCGTCCGTGTACAAAAATGACATGTCGCACAGAACGTAAAGAGATGCCACTATGAGAGCGTCGGTGTAAACAAATCAGTATCATACTTTTCCGCCACGGAGGCAAAGTGCTAATTCTGACGGGCCTACATGTCGATGGTTGAGTGCACACTTTTTGCCACATGAAATTATTACTTAAGCTTTCTGCACATTGGTCGTCCAATCATAGTTACTTCATCGTCACAATCATGATGCAACGATTACATGACGACTACATTTTCGCACACTCGGTCGTGATATTTCAATTCATTTCGCGTCTAAAAATTGGTGACAGGTAATAAGATCAACGGAAATAAGGTCAATTGACTCGCGCCCCGCGTAACCCGCGCGTGCTGTAACGCAGGTAGATTTATTTTTTGTATACGTTGAAATAAAATTTTTATATATTTTAAATATCGAGGGCTTATATTCAATAATACCCTCTATCTGCACACTTTTCACAAAGATGAGATTCTGATATAAAAATCCACCTAAGCTTTAACTGTTATCGGTGATATTAGTGATACCTTATATAACGACAGGTGATAAGTCCCAGATGGTTTCTAAAATCACAAATTAGTTTTTGTGCAAATTGCAGATAGAGGGTATTAATGAATTCAAGCCCTCTATATTTCACATTTTTATATTTGTAAGTTATTGGAAGCAGGGATGCCAACTTGGCTCAAACCGTGCCATTTGTCCCTATTTTACTTCGGTAGTTTCGATAGTCGATAGTCGCAGCCATCGATAGTATCGATACTATCGAAAATGCCACCACTATCGATAGTTTTGATTAAAAAATTCCAAAAATTAGACATAAAAACTTTTATTGAAAATGAGATTAGAATAGCTAAAATGTTTCCATATTTGTGTTAGAGGAAAGAAGTTTATTAACGAGTTTTGGCTTCAAGCAGTATCTGCGTTCTAAAATTATTTGCCCTGCTTTGCTAAATGTCCCTTCCGACTCACAAGATAAAGCAGGTACCGCCGGTTTTTTCTCTTAGTGAATAATATATGTATGAGTGAAACCTATCGATAGTGCTTACAATACCATCGATGTTTTCGATAGTCACAAACCATCCATACTATCGATAGTTTTCCAGCTCTATTACCCACCATTTCCAATGGATTAGCAATCCTCAAAAAACGATATTTATTGCGTTGCGCTCCAATGGTACTATAACGGCAGCGTTTTTTCTAATATTTAGTGCACTCTGGTATGGCCCATTTCAGTTGGTGATGTGGTTTCATACTCGCCAGATCTAAACCAAAGCCAGGACCATCTTTCGTAATGGTTCTTAAAAAATAAGCATTACAACGTGCGCTAGGAAAAAAGTGCATTGCTACTCACCCCATTAGGCAGGTCCTGCGCACTAGACCCATGTTGTGCTGTTGCTGAAGTTGCTGTTGTTGTTTGCCTATTTCTTCCGTCCAGTGGACAATGAATTAGTTGTGAAATCAGTTGACGACGCTTTAAAATGCCAGTACCGCGGGGTGGGAAGGAACGCCCAACCAAACACTCGATAACCGAGTTTTCGCCGGAGGCCTGTAAATATTACAGAAAAGTTAAGTAAATGGCAAACTTGGTGTTTTAAAAATTAAATAATCCGGGCATTAACTCTTTTGTGTATTCAAACCTGATTGCTATCAGAATCGGAATTGATGGCGAACGTTATTGCATAATTGTGTTCTGTTTTCCTTTCATATTTGATTTACAAACACAATATGGGTTACAGAAAGCAATTATGCAATAACGATTGCCACCAATTCCGATTCTGATGGCAATCAAGTTTCATGACAGCCCAGATTGTAAGTGTATTTGAAAATTCATGGGATTTGCTCTCACAGGTGGACTTAGTGTATTTTTTGGAAACAAATTCTATGAATTGTCAAATACACTTACGATAATTATACTGAATACGCAAAGATCTAATATTAATTGTATATAAATATACATATATGTATTACTTATATTTTTAAAATTTTGCTTTTGTTGCTGTTGCTTATTCGTCTGTTGCTGCGGTGGCTGATTATTGTTGTTGTTGTTGTTAATGTTCCGTTTACATTTCGTCGCCTGGGTAAAAGATTGTCGTAAGCATCATACGTACGTGTGTAACATACGACAATCTTTTACCCAGGCGACGATTTGTTGCGAAGAATTCGAAGTACATTGTATATTTGCAATATTATTGTTAATTAAAGTGTTGTTCTCCACATGGATTTGAAATGTTACTGCGCCATCGGTCATAAAATAGTTGGTGAGTAATTCCCTGTTGACATACGCATTATTTCGACCCCTACGTCTGAATGTTTGTACGGACCGCAATGGCCCTCCACAAGGTCTCAATTCGTTCCTCCATTGTGCACTCCTCCCTTCTCCGACAGTGTAATGCTCTGGACAATACCATCGATTCGTATCGTGCAGCATTATGAAGTAATGAAGTACTAAACACGAAAGAACGATTTTTTCAGCATTTTCCGGGTGGAAATCCATTGTTGTTCTTAGCACTCTCCACCTCGCAGTCAAAATACCGAAAGCGTTTTCTATAACGCGGCGTGCTCGCGACAGCTTGTAATTAAAAATTCGTTGTGGTCTTGTTGTGTTTACGCCTGGATATGACCACATAAGATTGTTTTTTAAGGAAAAGGCACAATCTCCAACGAAATAATGCGGAAAGGGTTGTGATGATGACGGAAGAGAAGCATCAGGTGGTAATGGCAATCGATTTTCCAATGTGTATAAAGTTAGCGAAACAACATCAAGCAAAAAATGTCGCATATACCCATGAATTTGCCGTTTTTTTGCCGTTAATTAGTTGTGGAAAAAATAATTTTGTCGCTCTGGTATTTTTTTAGATATAAGGTCTTTTGCTAACTTTATATAAAGTTATTGCAATTTTTTTGCAATTTTTTTTTTCAATGTTCAATAATTTTTAGAAGAACAGGATAATAATATAATAGAAAAGCAAACCCGGTTTCTTTATGTACAACTTTGAAATTTAAACAAGCAATAATCACCATGGTTAAAATTCAAAAAATTAAGAAGCTTTCTTATCACAATCAAACGACAAAATCAAAAACAGTTTTAATGCACAAAACAATTCAAACGGCAAATTATGCAACAAAAAAATTAATTATTTTTATTATTTTTAACCAATTTTTAAACCGCTTTCCAAGTCCCTA